CATTGTGCAATCATCTGAAGACTTCTAAATTCTCAATCCAATTAGAAGAGTCCACTTTACCAACCAATGAAGCATTGTTGTTGTCATACGTGAGGTTTTATATCAGCTGCTAAGGAAGGCGCTCCGGCTATGACAGGACGTCACAAAGGATTCATAGCGTACTTAAAAAATAAAATTCCAGATGTGCTCGCTTTACATTGCTTCATTCATAGGCAACATTTGGTTGCGAAAAATTTGAGTGAGCGCCCCTCTCAATCACTGCAATATATCATCAAAGCAGTCAATAAAATCCGAAACAGTTATTTAAATGACAGAATATTTAATCAGCTTTGTGTTGCTAATGATGAAGAGTTCAACCGATTGCTATTTCACACAGAAGTGCGTTGGTTATCAAGAGGTAACTGCCTGACTCGATTTTACAATCTATTTGACTCTGTAATAGAGTTCTTGGAAAACAAAGACAAAGAATTGCACGACAACCTCATCACTTCAAAGAATGATATTGCGTACTTGATAGAGCTGTAAAAATTATTTAATGATGTCAATCTCCAACTTCAAGGTGACGACTTAATTTGATTAAAACAAAAAACGTCATTGCTGCTTTTGTAGCCAAATGGCTCTTATAAAAGAATAATATCGGCATACGTGAGTTTCGCAATTTCCCTAATTCGTCAGCAGTATCCTTCAACAACGACGACTTGCTTGTTTACTGCCAACATTTGGAGAATCTTCACGTTGATTTCGCAGAACGATTCCAGGGCATTTTAAAATCGGAAATACCAGACTGGCTGTTGGATCCTTTTTCAAACGACAAATTCGATCCTGATATTAACAAACTTGTTAAAAATCATCAAATTCATCCTTCACATTACAATAGTTTTAAAATTTAAATTGAAATGTTTATTTAAAAAACATGAATAAAAGTTTTCCTAATATTACAAAATGGCGTTTTACATTACCCTCATCAGAAAGTCTTATTTTCACATGACACACGTAATTTAATTATTAAAATAATGACTGCGATGGTGAGTCTTAAAATATAATAAAGTAAAAAAAAATTGGGGAGCGCTAGAAAATAATTAATTCTCGAAGTGGACGGTACACAAAATAAGTTTGAGAACCTCTGGTCTAATTTTTGTTGTGTACTCACGATACAGATTCAGTTCCGTTGACCTGGACGTCATTATGTACATGTGATGCACTGTTTGGAACCTCTGATGTGGTAATGAATATTTCTGGAGTTTTTATCCCAGACCAAACCGTTATTTTCACACTTCGACACGTGTTTCAATCACCAAGTGATTATCTCCATTAGCCTAATTTTTGTTAGGTATACTTACAATACAGATTCAGTTCCGTTGACCTGGACGTCATTATGTACTTGTGATGCACAGTTTGGAACCTTTGGTGAAGTAATTAATATTACTGGAGTTTTATCCTGAAACCAAACCGTTATTTTTAACACCTCGACACGTGTTTCGATCACCAAGTGAACATCTTCGAGAGGAATATTGAACTGTTTAATCTTTCTCTTGAAAGTAATAACTCTATAACTTGCTGAAATTGGTGACTTCAAAAGGCAAATCTGATAATTCAGGATCNATGTCCATAATTATAATACCAGATAAATTCACTTTCCTAGAAATTTTTATCAAAGCAAGGTATTGTTATTTATAATCGGTGAACAGAATAAAAAAATTCAAAATCTCTAGAGAAATTCAAAAACAAACTGATTTTTTTTGGAGAAATTAACTTTCATTTTTGAAGGTATTGTTTTTTTGTCACTAAATGTTTTTGACAAAGTATATTTTCTTGTTATATATACATTTGTTTCATAGGATAAATGAGGGAATATTTCAAGTTGAACTCAAATTTTGTGTATATACTGAAATGATTTGGTTAGGGGGTTCGAATTTTTTGCAGAGTTTAAATTTGGTATCTTGAACAACATGGCACATCGAAATATATATTTTTGTAGAATTCAAATCTGTTATCGAAAATATGGTGATGCTTCATCTTGAATGCCACACACTGTATAACTTCATTATCCTTCTCAGCCACATCAAAGCTTTTTTTAAAGAAATTATCATTTAAAATTTCTGCTTTGTTAGTTTTGTCAAGCGAGAATATAATATTTCTTAGTTCATTAATTGTTAAAGGCGCGAATTCAGTGAAATTGGATCCTTTTTCAAATGTCAGCATAGCAGGATCACCCCAGCTGGAAGAAGAACTGATAACGAACGAGGAAATAAAAATAAAATTCAAAAATGAATACCAAGAAATTTGGCTACAAAAGCCAATCCCGCAATTGTACCCTGGATTGTGGTCCACCTTTCAACAATTTTTGATAGCATTCCCATCATCGTATTTGTTCGTATTTGTTCGTATTAATTCAGTAGCAACGTTGCTAACTAAAAAGAGAAATCGGTTGCAGATTACCGAAAGCGGTGACTTACGGCTGTTTTTGAGTAAATTCGAGCCTGATATTAACAAACTTGTTAAAAATTATCAAATTCATCCTTCACATTAGATTAGTTTCATAATTCAAATTGAAATGTTTGTTTTAATAACGTGAAGAAAAGTTTTCCTAACGTTACAAAATGGTGTTTTACATTACCCTCATCAGAAAGTCTTATTTTCACATGACACACATAATTCAATTATTACAGTAATGACTGCGATTGTGATTCTCAAGATGTAGTAAAGTAAAAAAATTTGGGGGGCGCTAGAAAATAATTAATTCTCGAAGTGGCCGGTAGACAAAATAAGTTTGAGAACCTCTGTTTGATCTAAACTGAGTGAATATGTTGGTCCATTGTTATTTTCTTTTTCAGAAATGTTGGAGGTAATATTCGAGATGGCATCAGCTATGTGGGAGGCTCGGTCATGTCAAAACCTAGAGAGTTTGCTCATCTAATCAAAAACAAATTCGGGAGCGCTGACAATATCAGTCAACTTTCAAGTGAGTAGTTTTACGTATGACCCTGTAACAATAACTAACATTTGCCTACATTTTATCGGTTTGGATTATTATTCTTATTTTCATTTTTTGCCTCAAACATGGAAAACTGTGGTGTGTTGTATGAACGAAAAAATTCAGTTGAAGGTAATTAAAATGTACCTGCCCATAATTTCCTTCGTAAAATTCATCTTGCTTTAGAAGTTTTTATATATGTTGCATGCTGTTTTAAGGTTGTTAATGTACACATTGGGAATATATTTAAAATTGTCTCAAACGGTCCACTTGATTTATATTCTGAGTTGCCTTTTCCCAGCTGATATTTGCAAGAACTATGTTCAGTTTTTCTATATCTGCGTTGTACATTTGAAGTTCTTCTAAAATATCAACCTAATATTTTGCTGGTGGATATTAAGTGGTAATTCTCTTACCTATTCGTTGTTCTGTATAAGACAATATGGAAATGAAATAATGTACTATTTCATCAATTGGTTATTATAAATTCTTGAGTATCTCCAGATTCTACTAGGAAATAGAAACAAACATACCAAGTTCACTCTAAAACTTTTTTGCATCTTTTTGACCAACTACACATATCCATCACAGAGGCACCATCCTGTTCTATCTACAATACAATCTATAATACAAAGTGAACAAAAACACCATATTAGTTAGTAAAATTTTATTGAGGAACAGAATAATTTATAGAACAAATGTAATGTAATAAATATGATTGAACAAATTTCTTAGACATGATTGACTTTTCATCTAATGTTTGTTTTTAGATTTAGTACAATTATATATTTTTAAAGCAAATTCAAATCCAAGATAGAGTGGATGTAAACATTGACATGCCCTACGCACGTGACATTGAAAATCCCAAGAATTGGTAATCTTCTCTAACCGTCGCGAATGATAAGGTGCAATGTCCATTACAATCACAGCATTATCCTCCAGATGGGGTAGAACTTTCTTCGTGATAATCTCCAGTTTTCTTCGACTCGAAACACCACAGCCCTTCAGCAACAAACCCATTCTCATTGCCGATGTGAAAAATAATAAGCCATTTTCCTTCGCCTGAAATTATGAAGAGGTATGTAAGTAAATAAAACGAATAGGAGAGTTACTTTTTATATATTGAGATTGAGGCAGGTCTTAATATAAATATAAGTTTACCTGATGGATTTGTTAATCCGGTGGATAGTTCATCTAGAAAGGCATTCCTAGTTGAGGTCACAGTTTCATCGACCCATACTTTAGGGGGTAGTATGACCAGCATTAACCCAGGTTTCATCCATATAATAAATTGTTCTCTGTTGTTCCCTATAATATTTAATTTTGGTTAAATACTCTCTCCTCCATAACACAATTTCCTCTCTATCCAATAATAAACTATTGCGCCCTCGTTTTTTTCATGCAAAATTCAAATGTTTCAATACTTTATGGAATGTTGACCGCTTTGAACTTGGCAATAAAACATCTTCATTTATTTCTGTGAGTACTTTGTCTATCGTGGGTATTTCATTTTTGAAAAAGTACTCATGCACTTTCCTCCTGATTGCATGTTTATCAGCATTATCTATTGATTTTATAATGGTTTGACGATTCGGTTTGGAAAATGTATGATTTTATTTATATTCCCGTAAAACATTGTAAATCGAAGCGCAACACACTGCAATTTTATCGGAAACTTTCGATACGACTCCGTCGACAGTCGATGTCTCAATTTCTTCTATCTCTTTCTTGAACACATTTAAAATCACTTCTTTCATCTCAACACTCAAATGTCTTTTTTTGGATCGTTTCCTGACTGGACTCAGAGAGTAGCTCACAGTGTCATCAGCAGTGCCTGTACTGGACATCTCGGAAAACAATTTTAAACGATAGACTATAACGCACGCCACACAAACGACTGATTACAACCCTGTGCTGGTACCGAACTCGTACCAAGAAGGCGAATTCACCAATGAACGCTGCCCTTTCCATCTGACACTGGGCGATCACGTAAACATCACGCTTCGGTTTTGTTTTGTTTTACTCTATCTTGGATTTGGATAGACCTCAGTGGAATAACCATGACTCTCGCTATTGTTCAATCGTTCTCTCATTTGTGAATATCTGAAAACCTAGGTTTTGTAAATTTGTAAATATCCGCCTAACTGTCGCACTAGTTAACACCAGCATGGCTAAACCGCACCACCCCTAAACTCCTCGATTGTAATCCGTAGCGTGGTACATAGGGCCTGGAGCTACTACTACCGGATCGGAGGGCAGCGGCGCGGCGAACGGGGGCAGCGAAAAGGGCGACAAGATCCACCACGGCGGCTCTGCGACGTTGCCGGCTACTTTACACACGACCACTTCGCAGTCCTCCGTCAGGCAGGGACATCACGTTGCGAAGTTTCCCAGCGAAGAAGGGAGTGAGTGTAGCAGCGTAACCAGTGACAGTATTGGAAGGTAAAACATTCGTTAGTTTTTTTTTACCCTGTCATGAAAAGTTTTTGAATGTAGTGCTCTTTGTCAGGTTTGTCATCAAATACTTTAATTACTTTATTCAAAACTCAGTTTATCCCACTAAATATTTGAATGTCGTTAATCCACTTCCAGGCAGTAATGATTTCTATAAATTGATGGATGTAGCCTTTACTACTTGGTAGAAGATCATCATGAAAAAAGAGAAAAAATACTTGTTTTTTTACTACTGCAGTAACGTTAGTTTCAAACTAATACAATAAACTGAAGCCCTTATATATCTAAACACCACTGTAAGTAAAAACAGAGGTACTTAACTTCAGTACCTGAATTTTGTTTACCTGTGGCAATGTGGGTAGGTAGGTAGGTCTAAAGTGAGTGGGTCTACTCGACCCTCCACCGCAACCCATAAGGGTTTATTGTGGCTCACACCTATTCACACTCGGCCAAATAAACCCAGCTTCTTAACGATGCCGATTAGTTTGTATGGTGAGTGGTCTTTCAGGTCAGACGGTGAGAGTACGGATCTGCCGAACTCAAAGAATCTGATTCGGTCCCCAGCGGGGCAAGCACAAAGTATACGCTCTGCAGTTTCATCATTTTCCAGACAGAGGCGACCCACACTGTCTTCCGACAGTCCGAGTCTCTGTATGTGGTGATTCAAATGACAGTGACCTGTAAGAAGGCCTGTTAGACATCGTAGTTCATTCCTACTGTAGTCCAACAACTGTTTGGAATCAATCTTCGAAGGGTGAATAAACGCCTTGGAGTGAGCCAATCCTGGAAGATTCTTCCAGAAGTCCATAACTCTTCTTGCCATCCAGGTGTTCAGTGTTTATTTGGCAAAGCCCAAAGCGATGCCAATGACAGGTTCTGGTCCAATGAAGCCGCTTGCAGCACCCTCCTTTGCAAGAGCACCCTCCTTTGCAAGAGCACCCTCCTTTGCAAGAGTCAGCAGTTTCATTGCCTTCCAGGCCAGTATGGCCAGGAATCCAGACCAGAGACAATCTGTTTAGTCTTCCTATCGAGGAGAGTCTTTTTTAGCAGTTTGCTACCAATTTAGACGTTGCTCGGTAGGAGCCAAGAGCTTCCAACGCCACTTGACTATCCGAGAATATTTTTATTGACTTGTGAGTGAGGTTGGATTTATCCAATCTCTCCGCACACAATTCAATAGCGTAAATTTCCGCTTGAAATACAGTCGCATAAGTTCCTAGGCAGGTAGATAACTCTCAATCGAAGAATACTCCTGCAACATGTTTACCACTTAAGAAGCGAATATGATTTCTAAGAATCTCCAAGTAGCTGATTGAGTGGACTTGCCTTTGCAAAAACCATGTTGAGAATTGGACAGAATCTTAAACCTGGATAAAAATCTTAATATTCTCTCATTCACAACCTTTTCAAAAATTTTTGAGAACATGCTTAGCAGGGCCACGGGGCGATAGTTTGTAATATCTGATGTATCTATCTTCTTGTGAACTGGTATGATCATGTATATGATCATATAAAAGTATTTGTTTCAAAGGAATTTTTCTTTCAAGTAATCCAATGTTTATATGGAAGTAGCTGTTTCAGGCGGGCTTTTTCTTTCAGTTTGTGTCTGAAAGTTACTTCTTTACATGATCTACATATCTATGTATAGAATTACTTCTTTAGAAATTGATTGCTTTCTTCCTTTCTTTGGAAGATTCCCACGTTTTTTGTATCAAGATGGAGTGGTAAAAAGCCAGAAACTTTCTTTCCCAAAAATAAATCACTCCTAAAAATAAAACCCTTCCAATTTAAATTAGGTATTTATGTAAATATATCGCTTATGTCAACTTCAAACCTACATAAGGTCGTTAGAATTATGATACTACTTTCATTGTCTTCCTTCAATTATATTATTAAGAAATGATTTTGGAGAATCATGAATTATTTCTTATAATCATTTTCTAAACAATGTATAGGAATTAAAGTAGCGAAGTGAGTTTTGAATAAAATTCACATTCAGCTGCTCTGATCTCCAAAAATGAAATATTGTTATACTTCAATATAGATATTTGAAGGTAAAACATTATATAATACCTGTTTCTGAAGCATTTTCTTGGTTTATTTGTTTTTGAAATCGACAAGTAAACATTTCGTGTTGCTATTCAGGCCAATGAAACAAGACATATCAACAGTAAAGACACGCTTGAAAAAGCCATTGTATGGCGAAAGGCATGTTGCCTTTTTTTAAAACTGTTTAGTGAAAATTTCACAATGAAGTGTTTCCTAAATAAGTAAAAACTAAGCAAAATCAAAATGTTGACTCATTCTTTCAAATTCTGATACACTCAAGAAAAGGTTAGGTCAACTATAACTGATAATCGTTAGTCCATATTTTCATATTTTGGCATGAAGAGTATGGTATTTTAGTGTTTGTAATTTTATTCTTTTTCCAATTTTCGAAGATGGAAATGTAATAATTTTTGCGTTGTTTATTTTTCTTTTTCTCTTTTAATAAACTAATTTCTGTTAATTGATTTGTATTTCATGATTCTTCTGTTTAAAAATCTGTTTAAAATCTGTTTCTCCGTTAACCAGCTGTCCCACCTCTACGAACGACAACCCTCAGAAATCAAAACTTGTGCGAGCTAAGGATTAACGAGGTCTTACCTTTTAACATGTGATTCCTAACACGATAATGTTAATAAACTTAATCATAGACCAAAAAAGGATAGTTTTGGTTCTCGATATTGAGTCTCAATAATAAGGATTTTTTTTTGTACAACTGTCATTGAAAGTGACATTTTTAATGGTTGTCAAGAGTATTGAAAGATGATGCATACAAAGTACTGTGTTAAAAATATTTTTAACATGATTTTTTCGACCAAATAGCACTAAACAAAACATTTATTAAAATTTCAAGGAAGTTTCATTATGAACAATACAATTAAATTCTGTTAAAAATGTATTATATACATTAAACACCAGCAAGAACTTTGAATGTGACTTTAAACAAAACACGTGAGCTGTAAACAATACTATTTGTTGGTAACCAAGTAATTTGGCGTCACCTGACACGGCCACTTCAAGGCAAATGCGATAACATGAAAATAGTTGACTGACAAGAGATGTCAAAATGTGTTTATAGAAATATTAAATTTATCTATTTTATTATGAACAGGACAGTTGTACAAAAAACTTTGTATATTATTTGTGTTAAAAGTAAGTTTTATTTTGTTCGTGAAATTGCTCAACTTGCTACGCTCGTTTCGCAAACTTTTTCACTCACAAAATAAAACCTTACTTCTACCACTCATGTCATAAATAACTATGTATTAATTGTATTTTTTGAAATCATGTTACATTCTTTCAATAATACTTCATCATTAAGTTTCTATTTGTTATATTTTGATCTGCAGAATAAGAACTGTCAGACATAACATAACATTAATTAAGAAGCCTTTTGAAATATCCAAAGTGTGCTTCAAAAAAATTAAGATAACTCATTTTAAAATTTTTTCAGGTACGCAAGAGCACAAGAAACTTGTCAACATGACAAATTCTTAGATGTAAATAAGAAAATTAGGCTAGTGCAAGATCAATTAGATAATTTTAGGGAAAGCTTCGATTTAGTAAAATCTCTGCAAACAGAGATTCATGATTTAACTTCTTCGTTACAGGTCAGTATATAAAATTTGATAATCAATAAAACTGTTATATTTAAAAGGTAAAAACTGCATTCTTTCTCTCTAAAAAGTACTAATACATATATTTCTCTTCAGTTATTAATATTGACTTGAAATAAAATGAACATGTCGAATTTATTTCATACTGTTGTCATTTTTTTTAAAGTTGGTTTGAAAATTAATAAAATAGTTTTTTTGATAAATTAGTGCTAGACATCTTTTTTATGAATTTTGTATTTTCAGGAAGAAAGGTTTAGAACTGAACGATTGGAGGAGCAAATTAATGACCTAACTGAACTTCATCAAAACGAGGTAGAAAATCTAAAACAAGCCATGGCAGATATGGAAGAGAAAGTACAATATCAAAGTGAAGAGCGACTCAGAGATATTCACGAAATGTTGGAACACTGTCAGACAAAGGTAAGGGTCCAAATCAAACACTATTCAAAGACTAGTACATTTCTGGAACATTACTATAATTCAACTAACCAGTACTATTAGAATTTCCGAGACACTAGTAGTTTGGTTAATTGGACATTCGAAGCTACCTAAACTCCCACCAAGCTGAAAATCAGTAAGATTGTTTAAAATATGATTAAAAATTAAATTTGTAAGTTCCCCATCTTTCCCCTCTATGGGCAAAATTTTATTCAAGGTCAAAGGTCAAAAAAAAATAGGTTTTCGCGATTTTCATCAAAACCGTTAGTTTCATCATGAAAATACTTGTGACAAAAATTGTAGATTATGAGTTATCTACAAAAAAATGTATCAATACTTTTTTCCTACGAGTCACCGTTTTTTAGATATAACGATTCAAAATGTTGTAAAGTTGTAATCGTTACAGGTTTCCACGCCATCTATGAGGTAGTGTACTTACCGCGTTTTTTTAACGTGCTTTCCCCAGTAGGCCTATTCCACGTGTCAGTTGTGATTCTGTTTAATTTGAAACTATTGCAAAATAATGGATATTAGCAGAGATTGAAAAGATTAAAGCAATTTAAGTAAAAAAAAGTAGTGAAATTTAATCGTCCGAGTCGTAACTTACAAATTATTCTTCTTGTTCTTCGTCTTCATCCTGAGTATATGTAAACTGCGTTAATAGCGATGTATCGCATGTCGCCTCGTTGAAATCAAACGGATCCTCCACTGTTGGTGATTCAATATTATAGCACGACCGGCCTTGACAATGTCTACATGCCAGAGAACAAAACAGTCAGGCTTTTTTGCAACCACATTTAGCGCTGCACCCCTTTTTGCATTTGCACAAAATTGTGTTCAGCAGTTTTTCCGGCGCAGGTGGAAGTAGAGTTTGTTGTAATGCAATGAATTATTGACCAACTTCCAGTCTGTAGGGTCTAGCTTAGTCGTTCTCAAAGTGGGCGATAACGCCTCCTTGTGGGCACTGAAGGCCTATAGGGGTGCAGTACAGGGCACAGAGAAGATTGAGAGGCGTTGAAGCGGTTTAGGGGGGCGATGGCTATTTCAAAAATGTTTTTTTTTGCTTTCAACACAAATTTTTCCGCTCCTTTATGCTTAACGCGCGTTTCCTCGTGTAACGCCATCTAGGGGACTAGACAGTAACTATTTCCTGTCCGACAGTTGTCAAACTGTACAATAGATGGCGGTAAGTAAAGAGATTCTATTCTCAATTCAACGTTTATCGATTTTTAATTCAACGATATAATGGAGAATGTTCATACTTTGCAGAAATACTAGTAATCAATCGGTAATATGTATTGTGTATGTCTTCTTTTCTCATATACTTTCATCACTTTTGAACTAGCATTTGCGTAAACTGAGAACTCTCTAAGTTCACACACAAACTACCACTAAAAATAATATGTTTCGAATCTGAGTATACTGTCATTATCTGGTATCACTCCCAGATAATTAACCTCCGTTGTGAAGTATCACTGATGTTGGCTAGAAGTAACTGATAACTAATGCATCTTTAGTTTGGTGGCCACAGATGAAACAAGCAACTGATATTAATGAACATGCAGGGTGCAAAGACTTATTTGGGAATAATGAAAACTACACCAACAGGCGCGATAGAGATAAGTAGATGAACAACACCGATTCTGGCACACTTGGGAGTGGGGGGAAACGTCATCGAAATCGACGCAGGATGGAACGAGTATAGTAGCGATTTAAGCGTGGAACTCCGCCCCTCGGCCCCCTTGGTACGTTCATCAGAACATACAT